TTTCCCTATTTCCAAGAAAAATTATCTTTGCACTTAATAGCCATGAGCCATCCATACTTTTCTTAAAGAACAGCCTTTGTCATTGAAACCCGGGGTGATAAGTGGATTGGGGCAGATTTCATACTAAGTGCATACTGACCGAGCCTTGCAGGTTCAAGACCAGACCTACAGCTTCTAGTGAAAATGCAGATATTATAAATGAAATTATACCATGGACTGAAATATGATTGCTTGCCCATAGCAATTCAAACACAATACACTCACCCATAGCAAAAGGTTCTTCTGCCTTCAAGAATCTATTTTACTAAATGAATTATTTCTGAAAGCTGTGACTGAGAAGAATGGAAAAAGTTTTCAAGGTAAAACTTCTGAATGTGCTGAGTAGGCAGACAGGAACTACTAGACATGAGCAGTTCCCAAGGAACTTGCCAGCATTGACAGTCTTACTCCCTGTATTGTTTTATCCCATTCAACAGTTGCAAACAGGTTGGCAGAGTTACACCTGTTCATGGAATAGGTGTCTCATATTTGTGTTGCTGCTAACAAAAAAGCTGCACCTCATTAGAGAGCCTACACAACATGCTGGTGTGTCTGTCTGCACCACAAGAAAAGACGTGACCTAAACCCTTATATAAAGAGACACAAGATAGTTTGGTTACAAGACATAAAACTGCAGCAAATCCACTTCTTTCATTCCTCTTCTCACAGAGCTGCTTCTTTGCATTGTATGTGCAGATGTACAGACACCTCACAGGCCCAGATGGACTTGGGAAGCTTTAGCAAGAAGAGTCACACAACTGTGTGATCTGTAAAGGTCTACTGTACATCACACAGCAGAACTATAGGTTTGCAAAGTAGATAGCTCTGGAAGATTTACAGTGCCTGTCTGGACAATATTTGTTCTGTGGTCAGTATGTACAAGAGAGCAGAATCCCATCTTGGAAGAGAAGTAGGAAGGGAAATAGAAGAAGGAAATGGGAAACAGAAAAAATAGAGTTTGAAAATAAACCTGAGAAGGAGCTTCCCTCGTTTGAGGACCTTTATTGCTACTTAGGCATTGACTGCAGTGGCAATGTTTGAAGAATCACAGACATACCGAGGTTGAAGGGAACCCCCAAGGGTATCCCATCTGACCTTCTGAATGAAGCAGATGCCATTGGAGCAGGTTGCTCAGGGCCTTGCCTTGGTTTTGCAGGCTTTCATGGATTGAGACTCTGGTTACCTGTTCCGATGTCTGGCCATCCCCTTGATAAAACTTTTTTTCCTCATACTGGGTAGGAATTTGATGTTGCAACTACCTGTCCTTACTGTACATGACAATAAGATCCTCCCAGGTCTTCTCTTTCTAAGGGTGAGCAAACACAGTTCTCTCAGCCTCTTCTCATGTGTCGTGAGCTCCAGTCCCCTGACCATCTTAGTGTCCCTGCATTGGATTCACTTCAGGGTGGCCTCTGTCTTGTTCCAGGAGCCCAAAAGAGAACACAATCCTCCAGGCATGGTCTCACAGGCACAAGAAGGCAGGAGTCATTTGTCCCAGCCTGCTGGCTACACTTTTGCTAATACTGCCCAGCATTTGGTTGACCAGGAAGCCACTGCTGATGCACTCATGTACTTACGTGGAGTTGGTCATTGGGACCCTCAGGATTTTTTCTGCAAAGCTAGTTTTTTTGTAGCAGGCTTTTGCCCAGCTTGTCCTGCTGCATGGACTTGTATTCCAGACATGGGACTTTTCATTTGATGTTGTTCTTCTCCCTGAGGTTTCTCTCAGACCATTTCTCCAGCCTGTCTCAGTGACTCCAAATAGCAGCCTTGTCCAGCAGTGTATCAGCTGTTCACCCCAGTCTGGTGTTATATGCAGACTTGCAGGGAGTGCAAAGGAACCACATGCCAAAGTTCTTCATTTGGATAGGTTGTCTTCTCACTGAAAAGTTTTTACATCTTGTGAGAAGGATGTGAGCAGTTGCACACACAAGCAGCTTTGCCTTATGAGTTTATAAATAACGTTCTGATGAGGAATAGCTCTCTCAAGGTCACTGCAGGTAGCCCTCTACTGCAGAGTCAAGTTAGTGGCATTAATCATGAATCCATCCTTGGATAGCGCAATGGAGGACAATTTCTTAAATCTTACTCTCTGGACTGTGTTTCAGGATGGGTCAGACCTAAGTACATAGCCTAGGGGAGGGTGTGTGGAAACTGTATATATAATATGTTTCGGACAGGTCAGCCATGTGAGACAGTCTGTAGCTGTTGAAGTAGGTTTCACAATCTGAGTATGTGAGATGTGTTTGTTTTCCTTTAGCTGGTCTCCTCTCCATCAGATAATTTCCAGTCTGATGTCACACATGCGTGATTTGTGTAACATGTCCAAACTATTCATTTTAGAGTTATTAGCTTTACTTTTGCTACCTGTTGTTTTATGCACTGAGTTTTTAACCCATTGGATGTTGCCAGAACTGCCAATTTTTCCCCTTATTGTATACATACATTGTATATTCGCTCTGACATTTCTTAGTATTAGGTTGTGGAAGCCCAGTAGTAATTCCCAGATCCCTAAAAAGTGATTAGTAATTATTGTTCTGTAAGTGCTTAATAGGAAGAATAAGCCAGGCCACCAAGTGTTTACACAGTAACACTCAGTGGCATGGAAATTCAGCTCTAGCTGTTGCATGGCTTAAAAGAGGGTAAATGCCTGCTCTCAGAGAGATCAGCCATTGTTATTTGATGCCTGTACTATGTTCTATTTTTTCTAGTAGGTTGTGCAGTTCTATTATTTTAAAATTTTTCATTCCGTGATAGGGGTTTATCTGTGTTTATAGTAGCAGCATTGATTTGTAACTGCAAGATCAGTTTCTGTTAAAGGTATTTGTCGTGCACGATCAGTAAGCTCTGAGAAGCTGCGTTTCTAGTCTACCCCTTAGTATCTAACGCGACATATTTGTATACAGCAACAAGGGGAGGGGGCTTGCAGGTTTGAAATAAGTAAGAGTGAAATTGCTTAGGAGCAGAGCAAATGTTCTCCTGCAGCAGCAAATAGTATCATTGACGGTGTCTTTTTTCTTTCTGTTTCAGGAGGTTGGAAGCATTATCGGAAAGGTCAGGAAATTACTTTCTCTCTTTATTTTGTGTCAAAATATTGTATATCCGTTCACTTCATCAGCCCAGGCTAACTTTTTTTCTTTGTCTTTAACAGAAAGGAGAGACAGTTAAGAAGATGAGGGAGGAGGTAAGACAAACCTTGATGTCTTTACTTGCCTTTCTTTCCAGCTCAGAAAACAGGGAAATCCAGCGTGTGCAGACCGACGCTGCCACCAAGTGGGCACTTAATTCAACATCACCACTCTGCAGGTAGTGGTGTATAAATGCACTGGCCTAAATTAAACGTTGTTAATGTAGCCTCCTTATCAACGGCGCAGTCTGGGTTGTTTCATTCCCATAGCAATATGCCTGCTGCTGTCTTATCTCAAGAGCAGCTCTTAGCCAGCATGATTCTGTGCTTCAAAACCACAGTTCAGCATACCAGCATTGGTCCTGCACACGGCTTGGTCTCCGGGTAGAGACCTTCCACAGTCTGAAACCAAGCTTCAGACTGATGCTTATAAAGCTTGAGGGTACACACAAGCTTCAGCAGAGCTGGAGCCAGACTTGCATAAGCCAGAGTATCCCTCTGCCATGTCTTGGCAAAACCTTAACTTTTCAACATTTTTAGCTGTGTGAGTAGGATGTGGGCAGGGTAGACCTGCACACCCACCATTCACATCCTTTGAAAAAGCTGTAATTACAAAAAGGCTGTCTGAAACATGGCACTGCATAAACCTCAGTCTCTCCAGTGTCCTTAGGCTTCTTTCCTTGCCACACAGCAAGCTGCACTGTCTTCAGAAGATTGTGCCCAGGTGGAGGTTGCAGACCCACACTTGCCCTGCAAGGCATCAGACTGATATAGCTCTACATCTTTGAAGCAACTGCTAAAAGCATAAGCCAAAAGAATGTTTAAAACTGCTGTTTAAAACTTCAGGAGTGCAAAGTTTATAGAGAATGCCTCAAGAAAAATCAGATTGGTTCTGGTAAATCTGCCCTGTATAACAGTGTCAGCTGCTTTGTTGTTTTATGCACTGATAGGAGGTCTGTGCCAGGGAAATCTCAACGTATTTATTGTTAATGAAATTGCTGAGATACATCTTTAAATATGCACAATAGGGAGTTCTTTGTCAAGCTGACTTAGTTCTGAGCTCCTTTTTTGATAAGAGCTTTCACCCATGTACATTTACTAAGAATATTAATTTTTTTTCGAGAAATAAAAAAATACATTTCCAATATACTAGTTGACTAGTTAAGCCTGCCAGTTGATAAAAAACATTGTAGTTTAATTATTAATTATGATTATGGGCAGATATCTTTGGCAGAAATCACACACACAAAAGGGCAGCCATCACTTGAGAGTGCTCCTGACTTCTGAGTTAAGCATCTTAGAGAAAAGTTTTAATCCCCAGTTAGTTTTTCAAGATAAATAACAAATATTCTTCTTCCACTCCTGAAAATCTACCATTGTGTACGTGTGGTCACAAGAGGCTGGCTTTGGTTGTTTGTTTTTTTTAACAAATTATATGCTTGTTATTTCATCACAGTATTAAGAGGCTGTGTCTCCATGTGATGATAATTCAGTCCTACTTTTAAATAACTACTTCAGTACTTCTTTGAAAGCAAAACACCGGGTTTATTTTTACTTCCATGGCAGATGTGGCAAGCTGCATGCCATCTTTATGGAGTGAAAAGCAACTTTGTCTTGCTCTGTCAGAGCAAGAAACGTCAGACAACTTCAGTTCTTAAATTCCTACACAGATGTGCAAGCTGCCACCTAACATTTTAATTGTCATAGCTCTGTTTTGACTGTCACATGGGGAAATAGGGTATCCTGCTGTTGAGCAGCAGTACGCACATGAATGAGGGCTCAGACACACAGCACATCTCCTGGTTCATGGCAACCCTGGAGGCAAAGGGCCAGATTAACCCAGGTTATTGACATTTGCAACAGGCCCAGATCCTCCAGAAGGCCAGTGCCTTGTATGAGCTGAGGCTCCAGTGGCTTGATAGGCTGCATTAACACAGTTCTGTGCCTGAAACCTCAGGGAGAGCATAGGGTGGGTCTTACCTGAATGGCTATAATCCTTATCTAAGATCCTCCTACATATATTTACATCTAGTTTAGGGTTTTCTTTGTACTGCCACAGTGATATAAAGGGAACTAATTATACCTGAAAGCCATGCTTGCTTGTCTCCAAGACTTAGGGTTTTCTAACTCCTTCCGACAGGCTTCTTGTCTCTAGGAGATAACACTGAAGTAACACAGTTACTGTTGCTTGTCCTACCGTTATTCCTATGAGGTGTTGTTCGGTGCATATTAATTAACTGCCTTCACCTGAGACACATCTGTAAGGAACCTTCTTCACAGTACAAAGCTGTGGAGAATACAGGTAGACAGATCAAGCCCTGCCTTTGGGTCTCCAAACAAGTGAGGTGCTTCTTTCCTGGGAGATGTTGATGCTCCCTAGAGACAACAACCTTGTCTGAAATTCTGCAGCTCTTGAACTACTTAAGGTTAACCCTGCAAGAGGGAGGGGAAAAGACTTGGTTATGCAATTATTTGCAACTTTGAGTTAAGGAGGTGCTATTTGCATGCTGCATTGAGGACTTTATTAGTATTTACCCAGACAGAATCCGGCTTCCTGCAGTTAGGTGAGTTTTTGGAGTATGATCAGTTTATGCTGAAGTGATACAATGTTGGGGCTGCAGTTGTAGGGGAGAGAATTAGGTGCCTCAAGCTATTCCTTCCCAAACTATATCCCTAATCCTACTTTGTTAGTGCCATGGAAAGCATAAACTTGAAAAATATTTGTTCTTTTTGACAGAGTGGTGCTCGAATCAATATTTCAGAAGGCTCCTGTCCAGAGAGAATTGTGACAATAACAGGCCCGACAGATGCGATTTTTAAAGCTTTTTCTATGATTGCATTAAAATTTGAAGAGGTAAGCAAATAAAACATGTTTTTTTTAATCTTTTCAAGTTAAAATACAAACAGTATTTGAAATTTCTCATGTTTGCTTTAATGTTAAGTATGATTTGTTTAATGTTCTACTTAATAGCAATGAAAGTGGTTGTATTTTTATAAATGCTTTTGGCAGTAACACTGAAGAAAAATAATGGGTCCATTTACAAGCTGTTTGATCATTTCTTTTGCTTTTTGGAGGCTTTAGGGAAAAGCAATTGCTTCTAGTAATGTGCATTAATGGTAGGAAAAATGTCTTGGAAAATTTCTGGTCCCATTGTGGGTTTGATTTGAAAAGAATAATTGCCTGACTTTTAGCTCTGTTTTTATATTATTCCATTTCGTATTGGTGGAAAATTTATATATGTCAAAATGAACATATAATTCATTCAACTAGAAAATTTTAATTTTAAAAACAAACTACATTATTGCCATTCACCATATTTAAAGCTTGGCTTTGAAAATTAATTTTAAAAATTAATAAAAATAAGCATGTTAGGAGTAATTGAGGAAAGAGAGCACCCAGTTTCCTGTAGAATTACAGTTCTGTGCAGATACATACTTATAGTGCTGGCATCTTTTCAAGTTTGATGAACCAACTGTGGTTAGATACGGTCACCGCTTTGAAGGGAAACCTCACAGAAAAGGCTCCAGGCTACAGAACATGAACTGTGGTCACCCAGGAGAGGATTTATCTCTCTTAACTTTTGAAAATCACTCAGCTGGTCCCAGCGTCTCTCCTGTCCTCTGTGGAGAGACCAAGACCCCTGCAGAAGGCATTTTACCTTCTGCTGAATGAAGAGCCTGCAGATAGGTGGAATGAAACATCTGCAGCAGGAGAAAGGGTGTGTCTCTCCATCAGTAATTAAGCTCAGGGGGTTTGAACACCTTTTTTATGAGCACTCATTTCTGCAAGTCAGTGATGTTAGTCTCCACATCTTCCCATAGCCAGGGGATGCTGGCATTAATTGGAAGCATCAGCATATGCCTTTATTTATGCACAGTGATTGTTCAGGAGCTTGTATATATACAGGATTATATATAATCAGGAGTTTGTGGGTCAACAGATGCAATTATCTTCTAGCATAAGTGGTATGTCTTGTAACCTCCTTCATAGCACAATCAAAAACTAGTTAGATTTTTTTCCTACTTTTTCCACAACCTCCGTTCTCTGATAATGAGACATCTTCTTTTCACTCCTCACCTAAATTTACTCATGAGCAGTTAATACAGCTTTGTTCCTGTGCCAGCACTGGCCATCAATTTTACACAGTTCTTGTCTTTCCATCCCTGAGGAATCCACTCTTAGATATGCTTTTAGAAAAGAGTTTTATTCCCTCACAGCCTTGCTTTTGCCAGAGTAAGTGAGCCAAGCTCAGTCTTTCACAGGATGAATTCCCCACCCCTCTCCTGACTCTAGTAGTCCTATTGTACTTTTCCCAGTTACAGTTTGTGTTGAACATGCATGTTAATTGTGGACAGGTGGCAAATGAAGTTCCACAAGGGCTTATTATTATATTATATCACTGCTTTGACAACCTCCTTCATAAAAGTTGATTTTCTAGCAACCTGATGATGAATTTACAGGCTAGGTAGGTAATTACATAAACAACTAAAGTATTCACTGCAGAGAAAAAAGAGAGTTGTTCGAAAATTGATCTAATGCAGGCAGACCACTGAAGTTGCAAGATAGGCCATTTTAGATCAGTGATTTCCAGACTGGAGACTTAGACCCAAGAAATGCAGCTGTCAGCTCACTGGTGAGCAGGGCAGCTCTGGTTTGGGGTATAAATATGCATAATCCACTGTGTGTGTGTGATAGTTAAATGCTGGAAAAAACAGCAGGTGGATCTCAGTGGTCAGACCTTCTCCAAATAAACAAGAAAAAATTTGGTTGAACCCTTGTTCATTTGCAAATATTTATGAAGAAGTTGCTCAGCTCTAGGAATAAGGAGGAGAGAAAGGCAATGTGATAAATGCAATTGAGATTATGCCTTTTTGAGAAATGCTAACTCCTGCTGCTACAACTAAGGTAAATCCTGTGGTGGTCATAACCAAGTGAGGAGCCACCTCACAGACTCGTACATGCTGTGGAAATTGGCAGGTTTACCATTTCATTATTCAGTAAAGGAAGTATTTTGATACGTTGTTCCATAAAGGTCTGGTAGATTTCTGAGCTGCCAGGTTTGCTTGCCTTTGAAAGCCTTAGACACTGTGATTATGGGATGCCAGGAGTTAGGGGTGCTGCAAGGCTTCAACACTGGGAGCTGGCTCTTCCGTCACTTCCAGACTCCCAGTTAACCCATCTCTAGTGTCTACCACAGCCCTGATACAGTGCATGCAGTGCCACAGAAAGTTGGAGGTTAAAGAAATGGGAATCTCCCAGGTTGAAAGGTGACTTGTGTAAGAAAGTCTCCAGCCAGCCCTAGTTGGGAACTTTCAGTTCTAAAGGGGCTTTTTTCTGGTTGCTCTTTTGTTGTGTTTTTAATCTGGACCGACTGCTTTATGCATTTCCTGCTGCTGAGCCTGTGTGTTTAAATGTTGTTCTTTTTAAATTATGAGAACAACATCAATAGAATAGCAGCTTCCACTTTTTGTGAAGTTTCCTTTTGAAGGCAGTAAATGTAGTGAGGGCTTTGAGGCCAGATACTTTATGGAAGTGGGAGACGTTATCACGGTCACGCTGGTTGACTGAAGGAAGATGCTTACCTACATCTGGATGATCATGTGCCTCCACCTGACACAAACATGGTAGAGTGAGATGGCATCTTCCAGCTGAAAAATTGGCATGACTAGTGCTGTATTTCAGATACATGGGTGTTGCAAAATTCGGTTATCCCTCTCACTTTATTTTGGATTGCAATCTCTCACTGACACGGGCACTAAGCCAAATGTGAGTTACTGGCTGGCAGAGGAATGATTTGAGACCTGTCTTGTGCCATGCAGCAATGCCTCGTTTCGTTCAAGATTTTTTTTTTCTTCTCTTTTAAGCAAAACAAGGTCACACTGAGCCAGTTCTTGGACAGAAGAATGCTGCCATCACAAATGTAGAGATACTGCAGAAATCAGTGCTGGTGTCACTGAGCTCCCACTCTGATTCAACAAGGCATGCAGAGTTGTTTAAAGTACATTCCTATTTAATTTTGGAGTCCTAATCACACAGTATAGATACTTTGTTTGAACAAGTGGTAGTCTTGGTAAGCAAGAATGTAGGGAAACACATCAGTTCTGTGTGCTGGAACTCTTGTTGCATCATAAATTCATAGAATCATAGAATGGTTTGGGTTAGAAGGAACCTTGACGATCACTGAGTTTGAAATCCCCTGCATGGGCAGGGACACCTCCCACTAGACCAGGTTGCTCAAAGCCCTGTCCAACCTGGTCTTGAACACTTCCAGAGAGGGAGCATCCACAGCTTCCCAGGGTAACCTGTGCCAGTTCCTCACCACCGTCACACTAAGGAATATCTTCCTAATGTCTAACCTAGATCTATCCACTTCCAGTTTAAAACCATACCCCTCATCCTATCACTACATGCTCTTGTAAAAAGCCCCTCCCCAGCTTTGCTATAGGCCCCCTTCAGGTACTGGAAGACTTATATAAGGTCTCCCCAGAGCCTTCTCTTCTCTAGGCTGAACAGCCCTGATTCCCTCAGCCTGTCTTCATAGGAGAGGTCCTCCAGCCCTCAGATAATTCTCATGACCCTTCTCTGGATTTGCTCCAAGAGCTCTGTGTCCTTCCTGTGTTGAGGGCTCCAAAACTGGGCACAGTACTCCAGTGCACTCATGAGTGCAGAGTAGAGGGGCAGAATCACCTCCCTTGACCTGCTGGCCATGCTTCTTTTGATGCAGCCCAGGACACCGTTGGCTTCCTGGGCCACAAGTACACTTTGCTGGGTCATATTGAGCTTTTCATCTGCCAACACCCCCAGGTCTTTCCCCTCAAATTAGTTAAATTAACATAAAATGCATGCTTTCTGTTGTTCCTGTCCTAATCTTCTGGATAGCATTTCTGTGAAGGGTCCAATAGCTGTGCCATGCCACTTCACAGATGGATGAGATGGTCTCTTCAGCTTGCAGCTAGTATTAGCAAACCACATGCAGGTCCTCAGGAGTTCCTGGACATGTGCTATGCAGCTTGTGGCTTTTTTTTTTGTGATTCTGAGTGCTCTCAACAGCATCCCATAAATCAGCAGGA